TGCCTTCCCTGCCATGGTGGTCTGTTCTCTCTGAAATGTGAGCTTCTTTTTACCTTGGTCCTCTCCTACTTTGCTTTTCTTATGTATTTTGCAACAGACACATGAAAAGCACTGCTCCTCGATGTTCAGACATTTCCCTCTATCCTACAGCTTTTTGAATCCATGGTTCTGCTATGGGTCTTCCTCTGAAGGCAAAAGAAAAACACTTAGTATTGACATTGGGATCCAAAATTGTTTTTAAAGCACCCTCAACATTGTCTTTTATAAAAAGTGGTATTTGTGTTCCAGACACTTCTGAAAAAAATATAGTAACCCATTGCTGCTAAAATCTATTATTCTTAGGAAACAAAATTTATTGTTAAAGGTAAATTTTTATAAATCTACACAGTAAATTCTCCTATCTCCATTGGATAGGGAGTTAAAACTGAGTCACTGTGAGGTGGAGTTTTCTTCCCAAACTCATGTATGTGTATTATTTAGTTTCTGCCTTCTGTATTCAAGGGGATATGAACACGGGTAAGAAGCCACACGACATGGCAGCTCCATGCTAGTGTCCTCTGTTGAGTTCCAGTGACAGCATGCAAGGATCCTGGAAGAAAGGCAAAGATTTCATAGAGAAATTTGCACCTTAGTCCATCAATGAAGACTTCACACTTAATTTTCTGGTGCAGGAGAGCTGGGTCAGAGAGCAAACCCTAGAGATGCGAGGATTCTGTGTTAAGTATTTTTCTGCTGCTGTGATATAAACTTGACCCAGGCAAAGAGTTTGGGGGCTCACGACTGTAGACTGGAGTTCATCACAGAGATGTGACGCAATATACGAGGCAGGTGTGGCAGCTGGTCCAAGGAGCTGAGAGCTCATATCTCCAGCTGCGAGCAGGAAGCAGAAAGGACAAAGAAAGTGGCAAAGGCTTTTTAAATCTCAGAGTCTGCCCTCAGTGACTTCCTCCGGTGAAGCTGTACCACCTGAACCTCCCCAGACACCACCACCAACTGGGGAGCAGGTCAAATGCCTGAGACGATGGGGGACGTTCTCATTCATACCACCGGAGACTCCTGCTTAGGGGCAGAAGCGTGAATTGTCTACTGACAGTTCAATGTTCTTATTGCAAATTCCATGGGGGTAAGGGGATAGCATCCATAACGGGGATATTCATATATACAAAACAAATCCCAAGTCCAGCTCTCAACCGTTGTTACATTAGAAAAATACAGTTCTGTTTACTTTTTGTCTTTCTTCCTTCCTTTACTTTATTAACAAAAAAAAATAGGTGCTATTTTTTAAAAAAAATCATTTTGTTTTTCAAACGAAGTTAGTGTGGGTTTTGTTGATCAATTCTATTTATTTATTTGGCTACCCATTTTCCAAGTTGTACATCAAGATCACTGCATAGGTCCACACAGTGTTAAAGCATAGCTCCTCACAGGCCAGTGCAGTGCAAGCCAGGAGGGAACAATGGACTGAACTCAGATGTGTTTGCCATCTACCCTTCTGGTGCCTTGGCCGTGCAAACATAATTTGTTAAGGCAGCGGTTCTCCACCTTGGAGACCTTTTAACACAGTTCCGCACTCATGTCATGGTGATCCAGAACCATAAAGTCATTTCATTGCGACTCATAACTGTAGTTTTGCTAGTGTTATGGATTGTACTGTAAATATCTGATAGGCAGGATATCCAATGTATGAGCACCAAAGGGGTCATGACCCACAGGTTAAGAATCACTGCTTTAAGGGCTGGTTCTAAAAGAGACAAGGAGATGTGCCGGCACTCATTTTTTCCTATTCTTCTCTCCTACATTACACCCTGAGTACTGTTTCTTCCTCCACTCCTTCCACATACCCTGCACCTCCCACCTCCCCAGGCACAGACCCTTATGTCAAGGCTGGGCCAGGAAACCTTGTAGGAGGAAAGGAGTCCCAAGCCCAGGGCCTGCACTCTTCAACGCAGCTCCCTACTCCCACCTGGAGCCATCCTGCTTCTGTCCTTCCCTCCTCTGCACTGGCTGTTCGCTCTCCAGTGTTTGAAATGTTCTTTCATCATCCAACTGTCTATTTGATGGAGGACCAGGGACATTAGGTTAATTACATCAATCACTTTAGAGTCGTTCACCAAGACTGAAGTGGAGTCCCTTTAGATGTGATCAAAGAGCTCGGGCACCAGCTGCCAGCTGCAGAGGAACCCTGGGTAGCCAGAGGTATGCCAAAATCATACCAGGTAATCATTGTGGGATATCTTGGAGCTATAGCTGTGGTGCTCCTGGTCAGCACCATGAGGAACAAAGTCCTTTTCCCCCCTATCTTCCCCTTTTGATTGTCGAACTATTACTGCCTTAGCCCAATCAAAATGCCTCAAGGATCCTTACCAGCATAGAGCCTTAGGACTTCACTGTGGCTTCCACTCAGTTCTGAAGGTCAGCCAGGATGAAAGGAGAAGATGCCAGGATCTCTTTGTTGCCTTGGTCACTGTGAAGAGAAGAGCAGTGATGACAATACAGCTGATGCGGGAAGCTGGACTGCTGTGTTCCTGGAACTTGTCTCTAAATAAATGGCTGAAAAGGCTCTCTGAAGATAGCGGGATCTCTTTAGGTGGAAACTTCAGGTACTTCGGAACCTATCAGAAACTGAATAAGCCTGGAGTGCATGGATCTCAAGTGGAAGTTAGTGGCCCCTTTATGTCACTTTCCTTCACTGATGTTGCCGTGTTTTGACTTAATATGGCCAGCTGTAGTGTGCCCCAAATCACTACAGTTGTGACTCTACATTTGATGAAGTCCTTATGGGGTGCCAGGCACTTCTGTTAAATACTCTAGATTGTATTGACTCATGGAAACTCAAGGCAGAGGGTAAATGTTACTTACCATTAATGGATCCATACAATTATTGATATAATATTTATACAATTTAGAGGCAGGTGGAAAGAATAAAGTGATTCAGAGATTCTTACATTTCAGAGATTTAGAGTAATTTAAGACATATATTTGAAAAGAAATACATACTACAAAGTGGAACCATTAAGCATCATAGGGTTAAATTTCCTTTGTCAGACGTCTCTTTGGGAGACCTTGCCATAGTTGGGCTTTAAGGAAGATTTCAGTTTTAGGTACAGGGTCAGGAGAGGGAAGCCTATCATGGATGGGGAGTTTGGGAGATAGGCCCTTAAAGTGGGGGAAAGCCTGAGAAATACGCAGTGATACAGGCCATTGTTAGTTTAGCTTAGGTGAGAAGGTGGAGCCTTATCAACACACTAAGGAGTAAGAACCTTATCAACACTTTAAGGGGTTCCATGAGGAAGGCCATGAGCATCATCTAAACACTTGAGAGTCAATAGCAGAAGGGATGTATGGGAACTTAGTGATACATAACAGTCTTTTTAGCAATGGTTTCTGCATGCTGGCTGCATTCCACATGAAGATTCAAGGCAACTTAGCTCTTGGATGACCAGGAGATTTGCAAAGATTCTAGAGAATCACAACCATCTCCTTGCCAATGACAGCTATGGTTAGAAATCTGTACTTGTAACCTCTCTTCATTTCTTTTTACATTATATGTGTAATAAATAACTTTCAGTAATAATGCTGTCCACCAACATAGGTCACAAATCACACGGATTATGTCTCTAAAGACTGAACTGTTCCATACTAGAACCATGTTTGGCACTCCAAAGCAGGTTTATTTATCAATCCAGCAAAACATTTAAGCAGTTGCCTGGGCCCAGATTCTGTGATCAGTACCAAGGAGGACATAGTGATGAAAAAAAAGCATAGGACAAAACTTCCAGAGGTTTATTAGAGTCTCAAGGAACAGAAAAACAACTCAGCAGGTGATGTTAAAATAGTTTGGCAAGTGTCGTGTTGAATAATGTGATCAGCAATGTCCATTGGGCTAGGACAGTTTCTGTTTAGATGATAATTTATAGTACTTAAGAAAGACAACAGAACCTACACATAAGGATAGGTGTCATATAGGTAGGGTGTGGTGTTGCCTCAGAAGGAGCTCTGTGGAAGAAATGTGTCTGCTACCTTCAGAGTTAAGAGGATGAGGGCGTTCATGGAAGGAAGTAGTGGTCAGGAGGTAGAATAGTGAAGATCCCAGTGTTTGTCGAAGAAGGGAATTAATTAGTAAACAGACATCGAGGAAGAGAATGGCTAACTCATTGTACATTTATATTCTAACACCTAGAAGAAATATCTTGCAATGGGGCATCTATAATCATCTGACATGTTTGCAAGGCAGTTATTCCATTTTGAAAATGAAAATTTCAAAAAGTATCACCAAAATATGACATTTAGATGACATATGTGTCTTTACTCTTCTCATTATACTATCGAAAGCTCCTTCCTGTAGCTGGAGAATGAAAAGGACCAAAAACCTCTTCATTTGGTCCTTTCTCTGTACTGAGACAATTATTTTTCAGTTATTCTACTCCAATTAATTTCTTCAACTTCACTGAGAAATAATCTTTTTCCAATGTGTGTGTTTATGTATCTGTGTCTGTCATGAGCTTGGTAGATCCACACATGTGTGTGGGTGCAGTCACTCTTTGGACATCAGAGGACAATGTCAGGTGACTTTTTCTACAGCTCTCTGTTTCCTTGAGACAGGGTTCTCACTGAACTTGGCTAGGCTGGCTAGCCATTGACATCCTAGGGTCTCCTTTTCTCTGCCCACCTGTGCTGAGGTTACAGGCACACAGGACCATGCCCAGCTTTATAAAAACTTGAGTGCTGGAGATTTGAACTCAGGTCCTCTTGTTTTTACAGCAGGTGTTCTCATCCACTGAGCTATCAGGCATATTGACTGCTGCCATGCAGAAAACTGGTGATGGAGAATCCTCTTAGCCTCACTTGGTCTTATTATTAACCTTGTCACCAAATTCATCTTTTCTGTTCACCTGTCCTCATTTAAATTATTCACCTATAGATTTTTCTGTCAACAGTTAGTTCTGTCAACAATATATTTTTGAACATCTTGCTTTTTTCTTCTCGTTGCTGTCGTTTAGGACCTGCAGAATTGTTGGATATGGCAGACAGTGAAACGTGAGTGTTGCCTTTCATTCTATAGTCTAAACAGTTGTGTTCAAAGCGTATCTTGTCCAGGAGGCATCGCAGTTTTAACTTCACTGATTAGAAGCCCCCTTTAAACCGTGTTCACGGTGGTACAAAGGTAATCAGCTGCATAAGGCTACACAACAGAAACCAATACTTTGTCTTGTGATGATTACCTACGTAATCAATGCTATCACTGTCATTGCCTCTAGGCACCCTACCAACAAGCGACATTTACACTGGTACTTGGATTGCTGACAGTAAATAAGTACATGTATCTTTATCTCTACCATATGCAGCGATTTTTTTTTAAAAATCTGGGATCTGTGAGAAAATAAAGCACCCATGTCTGAAGACATCTGCTGCGTTTAATGGCATGACTGCTGTTAGCCAGTCTGTGATGAGCAAGTGGCTGCCACCCCTGGAGAACTGGAAACATGGTTACTCAAACATGCCAGAAGAATGAGAATGATGGAAAGAACATTTTCAGTTTAGGGACCATCCCAGAGCTTATTTCTTCTGGCATGCGAATAACCACTTTTCCACCAACAGGAGTAAGAAAAAGATGAATCCTTAACTCCGAAAGCCATATGGGGACCACGAGGAAGTTTCAAAGAAGTCAGACAAAGGATAAAGATAACTGAGCAGGGTTAGAGAGGAATGAGCTGATAGTCAGGGTGTAGACGTGAGAATGGGCAGGTAGAATAGAGGGCAAGTGAGAAAGGACATAGCTATGAGCTGCCGGTCCACAGGGATGCTGTGCTGGCATGGTTGTTAGTGGGGCTGCCATTCATCCTAGTTTGGCTTCTTTGTGGTTGACATTTGATTTCCCATGAAACATGTTGGCATTAAGCATCTCTATACCTGGGGACTCAGAATGGCAATATCCTTCACTTAGCACACCTCACAGACAGATGGGGGCCCATCTGCTTTTCCTTGCTCCCCTCCCCGGCATGCTGAGAGGCTGGTCTCAAGCGTATTTTCTACGTGAGAGAATCTGGTCCTGTGAATTCTGCTGGAGTCTACTACAGCCTCTCAGACAGCCGTTCACTTGATAGATGTAATCCAACATTGACTGAATAGCAGGGGAAGGAGGCAACCTGGCTCCTCAAAGTTGAATTTGCAGGACAGACTCATGAAGGTCAGAATGGCTTCTACCATGCCAGAAGGGCTGGACCGTGCAAGCTCCGTGGAGATGCATCCATGCTCTGCCTCAAGTGCTTGGATATATCTGGACAATTTTACTCATTCTCTTCGAGTTTGTAAATCCAATAGTAGTGATCAAAAAAATTACCACCAAGCCACGCCCAGTTTAGAGAAGTAGCTAAAGTTAGATTTCAGTCTGTTAAAGAATAACAAGGTATCTGTAGACACCCCAGGCCACATCCCTAGCATGCATGTGTTCTGCTGTCCTGAGCCTCAGCTACTTACAGCAAAGGAAGCTAAAGAGCACACAGTGTCAGCAACTGGGCAGGATAAGCCCCTTATTCTTCTGCTGCTTCTCCATCACTTCATCTGTCTCCAACCCTTGCCTGGTTTCTTAATCTTTGATTTAGGGGCGAGACTGCACTGCACAAGGCTGCCTGCCAACGGAACCGGGCTGTGTGCCAGCTTCTGGTGGACGCGGGAGCATCTCTGAGACAGACAGACTCCAAGGTAACAGGATGAGTGAGTGCAAGCATCCTCCCACTGTGAGAGATCGCAGGCACGATGGCCTCCACTTGTGCCCTTAGCACAGACATCCTTTCTGTGCTCATGGGAGGGCCTAGAGCTTTGGAAAAAGGAGGAAAAAATAGAGTGCTTCATTTAGAGAAACTGCAGTTTAAATGTAGAAGCACAAAGGGTGGAGGGTGTGCATTTCCCTGTGGTACTTTATAGACCTCTATACATGCTAAAGAAAGATGGGGGACTCGAGGTGTCCTGATGAAACACCAGCAGGCAAGGCGTGGGGAAGTGAGACCCTCAGCCAGAGGATGGGGATGTGGTGGTGTGAATGACCTAGTCTGGCTACTAGGGAGTAACTTTAGGGTTCGTCTTTAGCACCAAATCTAATGTAATTTAAAAATCTATGATTTGCATTGCTCCATGCATGGGTGCCAAAGTGCTTGCCTACTGGTTGACTCTTTAGATGGGGGGACCTCACTTTGAGATGGCAACAGCTGCAACCGTGGAATATCCACGTCACTCTGTATCTATCTATTTAATTTTAAGTACATGTGTGTATATTTATATGTGTGAGTACATGACTATGCACCATGAGTTCTAGAGTCTGTTGAGGCCAAAAGAGGTGTCAGATTCCCCGGAACTGAAGTTACACATGGTGTGATTCACCATGTGGGTGCTGGGAATTGAATCTGGGACCTCTGTACGAGTACTAAGTACTCTTAAGTGCTGAGCTGTCTTTCCAACCCCAGTCAAGGTTAATTCGTCCAAGTCTTTCTATGTGTTTTCTTACATTAGCATGCAAACCACTATTCTTGATGGGCGTGGGAGCCAAAAGCCAGAGGAAGAATAGCTATTGCACCATTAACTCTGTTGACTTGTAGCATGATACTGAGCCAGCGAGCCCTCCTCATTTGATGACAGAATATCATGCTGCCTCAGTAGGACAATGTGTGACAACAAAGAGTAACAGAGTTCACGGCCCTATATCATTTTAATAGCCAAGTATTTTGCTTTACAGTGATACTTATGTCAATGAGGCTTGAAACATGGTTCCATTCTTAGGTCAGGTTCTAAAGCTGCAGAGCATATAAGCATATTAAGATGGTCTTGAGACCAGAGGTTGTTAGTAGAAAGTTCCCATGGATGGAGGGAGTGGACCAGGGAAAGTCTAGGAGAACTGGATCTGGTGCCATCCTCAGCAGGTTCGGTTCACGGGGATCTGTCAAGAGGCAGTTGATGAATGGAGTGTGGGGGTCTTGTCAAGGACAGAGACAGAAATAGGAACAGGAACAGAGACAGACAGACAGACAGACAGACAGACAGACACACACACACACACACACACACAGAGAGAGAGAGAGAGAGAGAGAGAGAGAGAGAGAGAGAGAGAGAGAGAAAGAGAGAATCACAGGAGTCAACCTTCTGTCCTGATAAGCACTTGGAGTTTTGAAGGACTTTGAGTAGACAGTAAGAAAGAACTAACTATATCTTTGTTTCAAATTTTAGTCTTGGTGAATTTGAAGGAACATTAAGTGAACCTGAGTAGACTTGTAGTGGATTCTTGCTAGGAATGATCTCCTAGGATATTGCTTATATCCTAAACATTTCGAGAAAAGTTCCATTCACAAGTACGTTCAGCTTTAATCTAGCACCAGGTTACAGAATGGTCAGATTAACGGATTCTAATACAGTAATGGTGCACAGATATATCACTGTGTGGTAAGATCTCTAGAGCATAATTTTGAGTGAAAAGTTATGATGTTCAGTAGGATGCCTGGTATGACTCCAACTGTTTTTAAAAATGAGAACCAAGCAGGCATGCCTACATGGAAATAGAGAATAAACTGGATCATATTTAGGTCTAAGAGAGGGGATTTCAAGTGACTTTTGATTTTCTTTTAAGCTTTTCTGTATTTCTAGTTTTCTGGGTATGATCATAAAAATCAGAGTTATTTATATTTTGAATACACTTATATAACGCCTAATAGGAAGAAGTCTCAGGTTCACTTCACCCTACTTTTCTGAATACTTACGAGGCAGGGAAGTCAACGTCATCATTATCAAAGTAAAGACAAGATGGTCTACTAGAGTTGTGTAAAAGTAGTACAGGAACCTCAAACTAGGAATTTAGTGTTAGGTGCAGACTGAATGTGTGAACTCTTAGGAAAATGAGTGTTGAGACAAGCTAAGGAAGTCCCTCCCGGATGCTTTGTGAGTTACTGCTCTTCCTCTCGGCTTCTGTTACTTGGTTCACCGTGTTTAGTGAAAAGGAACCCTGAATTATTATCCTGAAATAGAATCTCTGTTTCATCCAGTACTTCCCCTGTCTCCTTGGCTTTCAAATTCCCTGCACATGGTTTCTCCCCACAGGCTCAGAGAGTCTATAGCGTCCTGTTTACTGAGATGCATATTCTGTCATCGCCCTGTAATTTACCAATACTTGTTTATATGACCCTGATTATAGAAGAAAATGGATTTGAAGCGTCTCGTAAATTCTGAAGCATCCAACATGGAAGGGTTCTTTGGAGGGACTCATCCTTGGCTAGCCCAAGTCTGTGACCTATGGGTATCATCTCTCTCCAACTATTTGTTTTTCTTCCGTTATCTATAGGGAAAGACACCCCAAGAACGAGCACAGCAAGCCGGGGACCCAGATTTGGCTGCTTATCTAGAAAGCCGACAGAACTTTAAGATCATTGGCCATGAGGACCTGGAAACTGCTGTTTGACCCTGGGTGACAGGCACAAAGAACTCGAGCAAGCGTATCACCTATGCCCTCCCGGCCACTGGGCAGCTCCTTTGGAAGAAGCTAATGGAATTCATATTGGCCTCTCTCCCGCAAGGATCTATCTGAGACCACACCACCAGGTTTAAGGGCTACCGGGATGTACAACAGGACATGATAGCCCATTGGGAAGGAGGCAGGCCGCCTGGAGATTTGTGGAGTACGTGTTCCACAAAATTTGATCCTTATTGCTTCCAGCAAGTAGCATGAACTTCTGCGTTCACCTGTCTAATTTATTTCAAAGATTCAGAGGATGTTCACATAAAATGGCACTGCTCCCTCCTTCCTCTCTGCATTCATCTTTCCCTTGTACCACATAACCTTACTGTAATCACCCATCGATTTAGAAAATATACTATCTCCTCTCTTTACTTTCAGTCTTCCAACCACAAGGTTGTCTGAAGGTCTTTTGAAACCCTCCTGGATGTCTTGCAGAAACCTATCTGTAAAACCACTTCCATTTGCAGACTAAATATACCAAGTCTAGTTAGTGGCTTTGCATGCCCCCTACCCCCTCTGGTTTCGTCACACAGGAGCTGGGAGGTGCCACAGTGGTAACGTCAACATGTGTGCTCTGTCTCTGAGGTATGGCGGAGCAACATGGGAGCTGTCTGTGCTTGAAGTACTACAGAGAGATTGCCCAGGGGTCATCCCAGGCAGCTGTGCTGTTGGTGGTCAGAAGGACTGGTTCAGCTTGGGCTGTTTGTACAGCTCAGTACTGCCTGTGTGTAGCCATCTCTGCCTTCTGCTGCAGGGGAGATGTGTCTAGGAGTCAGTGAAAGCCCCTAGCTAGTTTACAGAGCCATGCAATTCTAAGTGTTGTTTCAGGGACAAGGTTGGGCCCGTCTAGGAGAGTGGTTATAGGAAATGGAGCCTTCAAATGTTTAGTCCTAAGCTTTGTAAAGTGATAATAGAAAGCAGTCTAATTGGAAAAAATAGCAAAAATAAAAGTAGCAAAGTGTGTCGCAACAATATACTTCAATAGGAAAACAGCCTTTGGCATTTCGGGCTGAGGCTAATGACTGCCGGTTCGTGGATACAGTGGTGACAGGGGGTTCAGGTTTGTTTTTCTAAGAGTTCAGTTTTCAGGATGGCAAGGAAGGCTTGACCCACGGACAAAGCCTCATCTCACCAGTTCCATGGTCAGACTCTCAGGATGTCTGGCCCTTCCTAGTCTGTACTTCACTCGTGACCTTTTGCTTCTGAGATCATGTCTGATGGCCCTGTTTTCCGTGTATTTGGGGGTTTATTAAGCTCTGCTCCATACTTTATTTTTTCCTGTCACGAATTTCTTAGTATAAAGCACTATGGCAGAAATGGCTTTATGAGATCGTCACTTCTCTTCATGGGGGGATCAGGTAATGAAGAGGAGGGGGAAATTGCTTTCTACTCAAAAATCTTCGAGTTAGGTGTGGGTCACAAACACAAGTGGTGTATCTGAGGCTTTTCTTTCTGCTTTCTTCCATTTTCTTTTTCTCTTGAACACAGGAAAATGTTTCCTCCATGTTTCTGCATGTGACCTTTAATCTCACAGTCCAATGGGGACAATTTGTTTATCAGAATCACGTATCATCATTTGGAAAAGATGGATATAATGTACTATATTAAGTCCAAGCAGGCTTTGAGTGGGTGGGGGCTTCATTACCAGAGCCTCCCTATAGTCATTTCAGGACCAATCTTGGCATCATTTCTAGCCGGGGGGAAAAGGGTTGGCTAAAAGTAATGTGTTTTTAGGCATCCATCTCAGAACTACAATTTTCTCTTAGATATTGCAGGGAGGGGAAGCAGAGGGTCTGGACTCGATTGTTTCCAGGAGCTGAAGTCACTGGGTTTCTGTTAGGAGTTTTTCAGTTGTTGAGGCTGTCAAGGAAATATTGTGATGACAAATATAATCCCTAGAATGGACTGGAACCTTCCAGCTCCTAGATGGAGCCAAACATTTGGCCAAGCAGTTGGTTATCCAGCTGGCCAGTGCTGAGATACAGGACTATATTTTCGTTAACCACCATCTCACATTTCTCTGAGAATGCTTCAAAACAGCCCAGAGAAAATTTAGGATAGAGGTGGCTATGGGCCAATCCAAATAACTCCAACGAAGGCACAAATAAGTCCCTGGCATGAAAGTAGATGAAGTACTAACTACTGTAAGGGTCCTGGTACATGTAGAAATTGCACCCCTCCCCTCACAAGAAGAGAAAAAAATAGATTCTACATCATATGTGTATGATCCATCTCTGGAAAAATAACACTTCTAAGACTTGGTGTTTCAAAACAATGTGAGCAGAGAAGCCACAAGATTTCATGATTTCATCATTAAGTCTACCTCCTGTAGGTTTTTTTTTTTAAATTATTTGTTGTGTGTGGTAGTTCTGAGCATGAGAAAGAGCTAAAGCCATGTGGTCCAGGAGTGCCTGCCTCTGCTTAAGTATATAGTCTCCCATTTAGTGAGCCAACAGGAGGTACAGAAGAAAATGGTACAATCCTGACCCCGCAAAGTTTCTCAGACATAAAAGTATGTACCTATGGAAAAAATGTTTATGCAGCGAGCTGGGGCTGTGTTGCAAGAAACAGGCAACCTAGCAAGTTTCCTGTATCCAGTCCCTTGGGTTGGATCACTGTCCTCTTTGGAATTCCTCTTTAAGTTAGGCTGGTGGGAGGATGAAGAATGAAATGTTATTAAAAGACAGAATGCTAGTGCTGTGAAGGTAATCATTTTTGTAACCCCGTATTCCACAGGTCATGAAACATTAGCCCGGTCCTTGCCCCCTACCACATTCACTAACGTGACAGAGACCAGGAGAGGGTTCATTAACCTAGAAGACTAAACAGCGTGACTGGGGATTTTTGCTTTGAGATTTCTGGTCACCTCCATAGAGGTGATAATTGAAACCCAATGGGAATTCTAAAGCAGAATTCAGCTGCAGTGAAATTAGTAAGAACTGGCGGAAGGCCCCTCTGTCATGTTGCTTTTTGCCTTGCCAGAAACTGCTCAGGCAGATTTGGCTGGGTTCTAAGATGCTCAACAAGGGCACTACTTTCCCCTGGAACCTGGTAGAAACTCCTTTGCCCAATCGGTCTCTGAAATGTATTTGCTAGAACTCCTAGAATATTCATGTCTAAGAAAACAAGGGGTGGCAGTTTCCTTTGATCATATGATACTGATATGAACACACATTTTAGTTATGGAAGTAGCACATGCATTTTATACAGGTTCTAACTCCATGGAAAGTGTCACGTGCAGCGTGAAGACATCCTCTGCTGGTGTGTCTCCGTCCCCAGCAAGAGACACCGTCAATGTGGACAAACATGATTGCTTGTAGGTTATGTCAGAAATATCTTGCTCATATACATGCATAGCTGTACATTTACATGCATATCCATCCATACATAAGTAGAAATGTATTTATTTGTATACATATATGGGCATATATGCCATACACACATATTTCATGTGTTTAGACAAGAAGACATTCTAAAAGCATGCCAATCATCTTTATGTGTATAGTTAACACTCATAGGTGATGACACAGAATTTTCATTTAGCTGTTATTTCCTCCATCCCTGAGCTTACTTCTACCCCTACATCACTGTAGTTGCCCTTGGCATTGGCTACTGTCAGAGTCATAAAGTCCGTGACCAATGAGTCTTCTGATTATTTATATGTTGCCTCCCATGATGCATGAAACCAACCTTAGCCCTGTGACTTGTTTACTTTTGGCTCTCAGGGGAGTAAAGGAGAATTCTTTCTTTATGACCCCCTCACTTCTCTGAAGCTGAGTCGATAAGCTTTCTAATGCTATTTAACTAGGGCAAGCTATTGTCAGGAAGGGGATAGATACTCGGGTGTGGTCTAGGGGTTGGAGCAGCTTGTCTTCCAGTAGGGGAAGCTAATTAAATCACTGAGCACAGCATGGTGTTTTATTCAGTTATGCTCTTTAAAAGTAAAAATAGATCTTTGTGAAAATGGCTCATCATAACCACCAACTAAGACTGCTAATTGTTCTATGCAGCTAAATTATGTTCCTGTTAGGAAAAGAAAGACCATGTATTAAATTAGCTCTCTGAACACACTGTAACATGTATTTAGTATAAGCTCCCTTCTGCCCACATCGCAAACATACTGCCTTTGAATCTCTCGGTGCTTCTCAGCACTGAACTCCACATTCAGCTGATAACATGTCCTCTTCCTGTGCCCCTGCCAGCGCTCGTTTTCTGTCCCCCAGCTCTCTGGCTGTGAAACATTGCCAGCACTACTGTCATTCACTTTGTTTCACAGCTGCCTAAATCTTCCCCAGATGTTATGATCGAAATATACATCAACATGAAATTTCCCTCGGGGTCAAATTCCCATGTTGCCCGAAAGATAGGCACATGCCTCTTGACCTCAGCTATCTGACAGAATTATGGCACATTGATTCTTAGAAGCAGTCTGTGAGGTTGAGTTTATTTTTTGTTCTAGTCACGTGAGAGGTCACAACCATAAATAGTTCCTTCATTTGAAAGGGTGTAAGTGATGTGTGCTTTTAAAATCATCCAGGGGACAGGATTATATATGGGTTATACTCTCGAGAGTCAGCTGTGGTTTCTTTTAAAAAGTTGTTAATGCAGTTTAATGAGAAACCTAAAAACAGAAATAAGCAAAGGATACCACACTGGACAATCCACTCACCCAGAACATCGAAATATATTATTCTGGTCCCAAAGAGGAAACAGAGAACAATCATAAAGTATTAAAGCAAATAGCTTACAGTAGAAACTTGGATGTTGGATGATGTGTTCCTCCAGGAAGTACTTATTAGATATACATTCAATCATGATCATCCAATAATATATTCAAAAATCCATCATGTTTGCAAGTATTTCAACATTTCTTTCAAAATATTTATCGCTCACCGTGATACAGATTCAGTAAGAACATAGCTATCTAAGAATACAAGGGGTAAACAACTTCAAGGAAGGTGGCAGACGGAGATCAAATCACAAACCTAAACAGTTGAGGTTCTGTAAGTTGCATGTGTTTGGACAGGAAGGTACCTCAGCAATGCCCTAAAAGTTCACCAGGATCGTGTGAATTTTGTCACTCTTTGTTCTGTGTGAGCAAATGCAATAGTATTGTTTTGTATTTCCAGTTCCTTGGAATCCTGGTAAAGTTCTTAAAAATATAGTTGAAACTTTGACTTTAAGATGAAACTTAGAAACCCCACTTAAGGAAGGGCTAAGAGTTATTTATCCCAGTCCTCAAGAGCAAAACCAGGAGTAATAAGCAGAATTTTCAGTGGGTTGTGATTAAATATAAAGAAGATGAAGTATGAGTTGCCAAATAGTGCAGTTGGCATCTGTACAGAGTTACAGACTTTCAACATCTGGAAATAGTTAGATGGAGGGGATTTGACCATCCTTAGGCGTGTCACTAGAAGGGATCTGTGATCTGAAGGGGCTGCAAATTAGATTGTTGTTTTCTTTGCCTCACTTTGAGAATGGCTTTGTCGGATAGCAACATTTGATCTTAAAAATTAATGGGAACCTTGATTCCTTAATTAAAATGTCACTTTATACATGAGGAACTTGAAAATGTTGGAGTGGGTAGGCTTTAGTTCTCATTTTAAAAAATTAAAACCAACTAAGCACAGATTCAAGAATTCAAGGGGGAAAAAAAGGAAAAGCACATAAGGAGATAAAATTTCAAAATTCCTCTGAAAACATTTTGGGTGTTGATGAGTATTCATGGACATTTCCAAGCAAAGCCTTATTGGAAATCTTGCCATTTTTCATATATATATATATATATAGTGCTGTGATTTGAGATTCTTAGAATTAACTGTAACCTAATCACAGAAAGAAATTCTGCCTCAGGGTCATTTAGGAGCTAAGTAAATGTACATGAAAGGCAACGTGGAAACTCCCTTGGTTTCTGGTACCAGCATGGGAATTGCAAGGGATGATATACAGAACAAAACAGTGGGGTAGGTTTTCTCTTTGCTTGCAATGTTCTAGCACCAATGGTATCTGAGTTGGCTGCCTTTGGTAGTGGGAGCAACAGGGACTCTCTCATATCTCAGCTCTTTATTGAGACACAAGTGTGGTTCGCAGTATAAAGCAATTAAACAACAATCCAAATATGGTTTATTAACGACTTCCCATAGATTGTTTAAGTCAGAGCATTGATAGTTTGATGTATTTTGACACCTCTGAACTTTGATATCTATTAGAATTTGATGCAGGAGATAACACAGGTAAGATATTCTAAACTGGGTTCCAGCATAGTAAATTCAGCCTGCATAGATTCACACAGTGACAGGGCCCCCACCAGATAAAGGATCTGTTGAAAGTACAGACCAGCATGCCTCAAATAGATACTTGCTAGGAAAATAGTTTCCACCATTGCCTTCAATGGAGCTTTATATCGGTTGTTCAGATTTCCATGATACGAAGGTTTCATATATATATATATATATATATATATATATATATATATATATATATATTCCATAGCCAAGTTGAATAGAACCAAGAGAGATCTTAAAATTAGAATTCTAGGTTTTTGTTGTTTTTTTTGTTTTTTTTTTTTTTTTAGCAAGAGGCATGCCAGTGTGGACATATTTCAAACACAAATGTGTTTAAAGTTTAGATACTGTGATAAATTCTATGCAAAAAAAAAAAACTAGAGGTGAGGGTTGATGACTCATCTGTTTGTGATTCTCATTCCCACCCCTCCCCGTGTGTGTGTGTGTGTGTGTGTGTGTGTGTGTGCGCGCGCACGTGTGCGTAAGTGAAAGTACTCTTTTACATCCTTTGAAGGCTGATATTGTTTCAGAATGCTGTACCAAAAGGTGTTGAGAATGGCCCTATCACTCAGGGAATGATTGATCTGTTTATGGGAGGGTGTGGGTGCAAAGTTCATCCTATACAATCACACAGTCACATAGTAGACATTCAGACAAAAGAGAAACCATGCTGTGCTTGAACTGGAAAGAATAGATAATGTTCTTCCATTCTGATCCCATATTCTCCCAGGATCGCCTATGGGCAGACAGTTGAATTTGGAGTAGGATACTTGATCCAAAAAAGGAAGAAAGAAAAAGGAAGAAAGAAAAGAAAAGAAAAAAGAAAAGAAAGAGGCAATGTTAGGTTAGGAATAAATAATGTCCAAATATCCAAAGGAGACTGGCTGTTTGGTGCTGTCTGATCCAAGTTCTAAGGCACAAACAATGCCCTTTAGTCTACACCCTAAACCAAGGAATGAGCAGATGAAAAGAGGCAGAAAGCACATATTATGTAAGGTTTTTCATTTCTAAACATTGCATCCAGAAAAATCAGTTGGGCTTCCTGGAGAAACAACATGTGTTTTCAACTGTTTCTTCTCATACTTAGGTGAAGATAAAAAGTCCTCTCAGGAATCATCGGAGAGTCCATCCTTAACTGTGAGGGAACTTAGAACACAACATCCTGTTTCCCAGGTTTAGTTTTCTGTTATTTTAGGCTGAAGTAAACCTTAGATCTCGTTCACTCCTAGGTCCCTGACATTTAGAGGGCAGCTTCTTAGAGAAATCAAAGGCATGTTTGAAAAGGATTATACATGATAAATTCAGCCAACATCTTTTAGAAGCAGACACTTTGTGAGTTTAAATATTTGTGCATTCTCATTCTCTCTCTCTCTCTCTCTCTCTCTCTCTCTCTCACACACACACACACACACACACACAAAGAAAGAAGGAGAGAGTGTCAGTTTCCCAAGTCTGAAAAAGATACATATATATCACTTGAGGTCCAAAGTCACAAATTTATATATTAAAATTAATATATATTAATATATGATGTTTATATATAGTTAATATATTAACATATAAACATATATATGGTGTTTATTTTTTCTTTTTCTCATTGTTGCCCTTTTGTTTGGGTCTAGGGCTTTGAGAAAGAACTGAAAATGCCTATGTGTTTCTCACCATACAGAGACAGGGAAGCTTTTCTACACCTCTGTGACCAAATAAGACGTAAATGCCTGTCAATTGGCTAGTGTTTCCATAATATTTTTATTTAAGGAGATTATAGTCTTAATTGACTATCTTCTTTTGTGCCCATAATAGTAATGCCTGATTCCAACTTCCTGGTTTTCTGCTGGGGTAGGGTGGGACATCAGGGTTCCAGTAACTAGGGAACATACAGTATCCAGAGTTCTTCTCTGAGGGAGCTTTTACAATCCCATTTTCTCTTCTCTCCTGCCCCACTCCTTGTCCTTGGTTTGGGAAAGAAAAATAAGAGCAGAGCTAAGAGAAAAGATAAAAATAACTTTTAAAAAGATCCTCAGATGTTGCACAATAAGATGACTCTGGTATTCGCGTAGGTTCTCACGGCAATCCACAGATAGCATATACGCTCAACAAACACTGTCCTCATAAAAACCCAATGTAGGAAGCCTGGCAACTCACAACAAACACACCTAACAACATTTCCCCCAGAAAAACCCAGCGTAGGCAGGAAACTTCTACAGAGTGGCTTCAAGGAAAGCTAGCTGGACATTTCGGTTTACAAAGCTTAGTAGATTGGATTGGATGTGGAATTTAGGGGGAGAATGGGGGAGCAGCTAATGGAGGATCTATGGAGTAGAACTCCCAAAGGAATAGGATAGTGTTTGAGAATGTCTTCAACTGCTCACAGGTTACACTCTTCACAGATTTGTGTTGACCCATAATAAAAGTTGAGAAGAAAAAAAAAAAGATCAACTTGAAGAATTTCATCCACAAACTTAAATGCAATTTCTACTTGACTATTCAGATAGTAGGCCTTGTCATTTGGGGATACAAACCTAGCCTTTTCTCTTTAAAAAAAAAAAAGATAGATATGAGCTGTTTGCAAGTAATCTCTGCTAAAATGAAAGCAAAACAAAAATTGCAAAACGCAGAGAACTGACAACCCTGAGTCGATTTGGTCTTTTGTTTAAATTCCTGAGCTGTTCTCACAAATGCATTCTACAATTTATAGTGTTTAAAACATTTTCTCACCTGATACATACTGCACCTTGTATAATGCGTCCAAATGCCTCCTTACCTTTGGCTTTTATTACTGGTGACATTTTTCCTTTCTTGCCCTGCCTCCACACTTCTCACTGGGGTCCAAATCAGCCTCATATTTGTTAGCTCAGCTGGTTTTGGTTTGTTTGTTTGTTTGTTTTTTGTTGTTGTTGTTGTTGTTTTTGTTTTCAAATTGCCAGTGGTTAAGTGGACAAGCAGGATGCTCCGTGGCCCACAGCTATTTGAAAGTGAGGATGTGTTTCTTGCGAATCATTAAGTGGTTGGTATTGCCATCAGGATGGAAGTGTTTGACGTAACTTGATTTTCGGGAGTGAAAAGTCTCCTCAGGCATGCCAGGACCATCCTGGCTGTGTGTGGCTCGCTCACAGAGGCTCCATGTATTTGAAGAGTTTAATCATGTTCTAAAGGGCTCGTTCATGCTTTCTGATTCTGTCCGATTCCATCCCAGAGCCATTGCCACTGCAAAGCTGGCAGCTGCAGGGTGGGATCCCCCCAGTAGTAGCAGCTATGGCAGTAGAAGAGGAAATTTTATTTCCAGGTAAAGTGGGATCCGGATACTATGAAGTGGAGGGAGGGTGGGAGGGAAGGGTGGGTTGGGGAAAGGGAAGAATGGAGTTTTTTTGTAATAAAGTCATAAAGTATTTTTCCCTAATTTTCTCGCATTTCCTATTTATATAAAGAATCTCGATCACTGTGTTGCTCTACAGAGATTTTCAATGGAATTCATTTGGGAGACTGAAATAATCTCTGAAAAAGAAATTGACTAGTTATACTTACTTTTTGGACACTTTTTCTGTATTGTGAATTGTGTGGAAATGTACAGAATAAAAATGAAATATAACTGATTTGTTTCTTTTCTTTCTTGTCCACAATACAACAGATGAGAATACTAACCTTAGCTCTAGTTTAATTAAATTTTTTTAAATCAAAAGGAAAATAAAGAGTTGTCAAAAAGGATCCCAAATAAGGCAGAAATAATTTTGATAAATTTCTGCTTCTACAATAAACTAATGAGGTCATGTTTACCTTTCAGTCTCAATAAAAACATATTAAAAAAGAATCATTGTTAAAACATTGAACTTCAGATACTGAAGACTTGGGTCCCTAAAAAAATGAGACTCAAATGACACAATTCCTGATCACCCCCACCTCACAGACTGTAGATTGTCTCCAGCAGTGAGACAGAATCTGAGAGAACCTGGCAGCCTTCAGAGACAGGGTTCAGAGGTCAGGATATAAAGGAAACTCGATCTTGGACAGAGGAGTTTCAGAAAAGAAAGAGTAAAGCAGAGAACTCCACAGACCTGCGGAGGCTCCCCTTTAAACTTCACTAGAGGGCTTCTATACATATGAGACTCTGAGTTCAAATCCCCTATGTCTACCAAGAACCCTGGTGTGGCTATGCATAGACCTAAGTTCTCTGCTCTGTGGGTAGGAGGCTCACGGGGGCTTGCTGGCCACCAGCCTAGCTCCAGTTTCAGTGAGAGACCCTGTCTGCGGGGAAGAGGAGAGAGCAAAACACCCAGCATCCTCCTCCAGCCTTCACGTGTGCACGTAGGAGCATGCTCTCTTTCCCAACACTTGCACATGTACCCTCATCACACACAGTATTTTGATAATGTTTTCTGGTAACTAAAATTTGCATCAGTTTGGAGATGGTTGGAATCATTTTACTCTTCGATGGCATGTTTTCCTGCTTTGGACAACATGTGTATTAGTTGGTAGATGTCTGTTTTATTTTCTTCCATGATATAAAGTTCAATCACTCAAAACTGGTTTTTCATCTTTTTAGATATTATTTTCATGACAGGTTAGGCAGTATTAAAACAAGGGAAAGTCTAAGATACTTTCTTAAGGTGTAAAACGAGCTAACAAAACAGAACAATATTAAAATCCTCATGAATTTTGATATTTCTCTAATTTTAATGAACCTCGCAGGAATGGTATTCAGCCACCTGAAGGTTTTCTCTTCTTGTCAGTTTAACAGCATCATTTTCTTAGTTTTTGATTTGTTAGAGTCTAGCCACAAATTCATTTCTAGTGAAATGATTTGTCTTCTTGCATGTCTGAAAATGTCTGCGCTCTCCTTTCCTCGGGGTTTATCTGCCTTTGAAATTCTGGATTCAGCATCATTTTTCCTCTGAGAAGTCCAGAGGACTGGACTAAGGAAAAGAAGATCCTGTGTGCTTTGGGAGAAGGAAAGCTATTTGATAAACACGGCAGACTGAAGTAGACTCCACTCACAACCCAAGCCAAACACCTCCAATTTTACCAAGAAGAAAAACTACACTACAAAGAGTTTAAAATTCTCTCAATATGACACAGCTACCGAGTGATAGGGATTTGTCCCCGAAGCACAGGGACTCACCTGCACTTACATCAC